AGAGTTTTTCCAGGGGTGCTGCAGCTGGGGAGTGGTACCAACCATTGACCTCCCTAGAACAGTGGATAAGACAAGACTAGAGCTCTATCTCCACAAGAAGGCTGGTACCCATGCTGGGCCCTAACTTTTTTGCCTACAAAATTTTGAGAGGATTCAGTAAGAACCATAGAAGTTAGTCATTTTCATTTAAGGAAACATCTTTTTTTCACCCCCTGTTTTAAGTCCCCATATTCTCCATCCACAGGTCATTTAGATGAGAGCTGATAAATAAAGCCAGAATTAAAATATTGTTAGGTATTTGGTAATGTAAATATGGATAAATATACAAACTTAATTCTCATGTGTCACGATACTGAACTGAAGGACTTTTACTTTTATAGTGTGCATCCCGTTGTGTGTCACAGTCATATAAAGTACATACTTTTCATTCCTTCCCTTCTACTGAAGTTGTGATGTAAATAAGAGTACAGACAGCATTCATTATATACTTTTAAGACTGATGTTTTACCTATCTCTCTGTGGCTTTACAGCCCTTGTGGACCTTGTCCCATTTTTCAGTTTCTTAAACTATACACAGTTGGTATCACTCCTTGGATGAGGGATCAGCCTGATGGAAGGCTGCTACCTACACACAGAATAAATACACAGACATTCATGCCTTGAGTGGAATTCGAACCCACAATCCCAGTGTTTGAGCAGGTGAAGATAGTTCATGCCTTAGACCACATGGTCATTGTGATCTGCAGAAAATTCTTGACCCTACTGGGACTCGAACTCTGACCCCTCAGTTGTCCAACCCATAGCCAGTACCTATACTGACTGCACTATCCCGGCTCCCAACTCAGATTCTACCATTTTTTTTATTGCTAATGGGGTGGGACTAAGTCCCTTGTACTGTGGTCACTTCTGGCCTATTGTACCAGCCCCAGATGATAGGTGAGGGTGATTGTGGAGCAATTTGTGGAATGAAGATTGGCAAGTGAAATCACAAATCTCACTTGACCAGACCCGGGATCGAATCCGGGCCACCACAGTGGGAAGCCAGCGACTAACCGCATGAGCTATAGTGCGGCAGTAAATTAACCATAGATGAATGAATTATAATTGTCCTCTGCATTGCATACCCACTAGAAGGCAAATTAATGTTTGGACAGTATCCACCATCCTGTCTTTATCAAAAAACACTGTCATGTTTATATTTCAAAACAATGTTTTGGAGAATGGAGTTTGTCTCCTTCTTCAGGTAAAATCTACTCAGTTGGTCCCAATTGGTAGAGCTAGCCCCTATGGTACTAATGTACCATCTTCATTAACTTTTAGACCTTATTTAAATTAATGTTTCACATACAAAGGTTACACTTTTTTGTCATGTCCATGTACCTTTTTCTCGCTTGAATCGACATTGGGATGTTCTGCAAGAAAGCATTACATCAGAAATCAAGCAAGTCAGTGTAGTGGTGATGCTGTAGACTAGTATTTAATATGTACCCATTTTGAATCCTGGCTGGGATATAGGCTGTCATCTGTCCTCACTGAGATTTTTTGTGGTTGTGCTTGTTCACTAGAGTCAAATGCTAGGAGAGTATCACAGTTAAGCCATAACTGCTTCCTTCTGAATCCTTTCCAGTTCGTCATTCATCAAGTCATCCTACTTTTTGATGCTATCTGGTGTAAATATGATGGGAAGTCATAATATTTTAATTATCACCATGAGAAAATCGTAATTCCAAAATATCGTTCTATATAGGAAAGCTTGCCGAACAGTCAGATTTTCCCACGCCAAGTGGACAGAGGGGGCCACCGGAAGGGGCAGAAGCAAAATGGCGACATCGGTTGAGAAAGTGGAGGCTCGCACTGTGATACGGTTCCTGCATTTGCAAGGGAAGTCTGCCAGGGAGACCCACGACCAGATGACCGCTGTGCATCAGGAAGGTGTACCATCATATGACACAGTGGTCAGGTGGAAGAGGCGCTTTCATTGTGGACAGACAAACCTCGAAGTTGAACCCTGAAGTGGAAGACCGTCTTTCACTGAGGAACCGGGAATTGTGACATAGGTGGAAGCTTTGATCCTATCTCATAGGCGCATAACTATCGAAGCTATTGCTCATGAGGTCTGCATTAGCCGTGGGTCGGTTTTCAGCATCATCCATGATGAGTTACTCATGACAAAGGTAGCTGCGTGTTGGGTGCCATGATTGTTGACATCAGTTCAAAAACAGAAATAGATGGATGTGGCAAAGAAACTTTTGCAGTTGTGTTAAGGTGAAAAGGTGGAATTTTTCAATGCCTGATCACAATGGATGAATGTTGGGTCTATCATTATGACCCTGGAACAAAGGAAATGAGCAAGCAGTGGAAACATGCAGACTCTCGTCCACCAAAGAAGGCCAAATCCCAGCTGTTGTCAGGAAGGAAAGGTAATGTTGAGTGTGTTCTGGGATTGGCAGGGTGTCATCCTGACCGACTATGTGCAAAAGGGTATGAGTACTAGCAGAATCTTCTGAGAAAATTATGGAGGAAATCAAGAAAAAGTGACATGGAATGCTGGGAAAAGATGTATGACATTTTTACGACATCGCAGTGGATCATGCTGCTCATGCTATGACACTTGCTGCCAATTTGGGATATGAAATTCTCCCTCATCCACCATATTCACCAGACCTGACACCAAGCGACTTCTTCCTCTTTCCACGGCTAAAGAAGCCACTTCATGGTATGCGATTCCAAGATGATGATGACATCATTTCTGCAGTGGAGGACTTCCTAACCAGTCAAAATGAGACCTTCTATGATCAAGGTATCCAGCAGCTAATGCATTGTTGGGGAAAATGTGTGGCCTTGCAGGGGGCATATGTAGAGAAGGGCTAACTCACATACAGTTTCTTGCGCCTGTGTCTCTGTTTCTTCTGGGTGATGATTAAAATTCTATGACTTCCCCATGAATTGGCCTCACCATAAATTAAAACACAAAAAAATACACTGGAGTGTGAATAATATTTTAATTCTATGCTAAAAAAGGTAAAGCTATCCCTGTAACAGGCTGTGGAGGCCCATATGGTGGTGAGACTCCTAGGCTCACATTTTCTAGACAGTTGGCTCACAGATGGTGGTGAGGTTGTCTGCCTTACACACCAGCTGCCATTTACCCCCAGGAAGATTGTTGGTGCTAAATTCTATTAGAGGCTGAGTTGACCCCAAGGCCATAGTGTAGCTCTAAGGGTTAGGTCAATTGAAAAATCCAGTGCTTCTATCAAGAATCAAACCCTCTGTAGTCATCAAATAATTTAGTTCTTAATGGATTGTAGCAAGGGAAATGACAGCTAGACCCATCTGTTTTGGTGTTCAAAATAGAACTGACTTGGTCATAGTGTGTATCAGTGTGTAACAAGCAGTTGAGAAAGAACTAGAACAAACTCTGCCACACAGAAATAGTAGAGCACTTAATGGCACAGAAAAGGTTTACCTTTGAGGGAAGAACCTCCAATAGAAGTTGGATAGGAGGTTAGGTGGCCAAAGATCCAAGTAAAGGTAAAGCTCTCCCTGTAACAGGCTGTGGAGGCCCACAGGGTTGTGAGATGTTGAGGCTCCCACATCTTCTAGACAGTCAGCTCATAGATGGCAGTGAGGTTGTCAGCCTCGTGCATTGGCCACCCTTTCCCCCCCATACCAGGAAGATTCCTGGTAATCATTTCTGTTAGAGGCTGAGTCAACCCCAGGGCCATAGTGTGGCTGGAAGGATTAGGTCATTTGAAAAATCCACCTCATTGGGAATGGGACTCGTGAGCTTCCGGCTTGTAGCATAGAGCCTCAGCTAACTATGCTACTGCATGCCCCACCAAAGAGCCAGTCTACAGATAGTGGCTAAACAGAATGAAACCCCAGTCCTCAATTAGATACATTTTCTCTACATGTTTGCTGTAATATGTAGCAGCAAGATTAGTGTCTATTTTGTATTAGATCTTGGACTGATTTTCAGAAATTTGTCACAAAATAGATGTTATGAGGGGGTGAAAGGATGGTAAATGGCTCTGGTGGGGTGCACCGGTGCCAGTATGTGCAAACCATTAAGTACCAGAACCCCTGGCCAACACATTGTGGGGTGAGGGCACAGATGTGGCCGATGGAGCAGGATGAAAGGTGTTTGGCACCTTCAAAGAGGACTCTCTGGCTAAGGGAAGGGAAACCTCTACAGAAAACCCCAGGGAAGGGGGTGGGGGGCTCTTTAGATGTGGTGACCCCACAAAATTATCAAAGCTACGAAGATATATTTCACTAGCAGCAATAGCTGGTTGGCAAGTTTTGTTCTCCTTTAGTCCAGTATTTGCTTGAAATCACTGACTGAAAGAATGGAAAACCTTGTTCAAGGTAGAAAGTCTTCATGCTGAGTTTCTGAACATGGGACAACCTGAATACAGGGTAGGAATACCAATCTGTTGGCCATAATTTTTGGTGTAACCTTATGTAGTCAGAATAGTATGGATATGATGTGCAGCTATTCAGTTCCAGCAAGGCCTGAAAACAAGTGACGTGATATAGTGTAGCACTATTTTCTTCATTGGTACCCGCGCTTGTTTTATTGGAAAAATAGTGTCACTACCCTCAGAAAAATTAGGCATCAGAATGCTGTGAGGTGAACTGTATTTCCATGTCAGTAGCGATTCCAGTTCTCCAACGCCACGTACACTGAAAAATGCTAATGTTTTGCCATGAATGTAGCAGCAAAACATCAGTTATAGGTCACTCATTCATAGCTGTTAAGTCCAGCAAGTAACATAGTACATTCCACATAAAGTGGCTGTAGACTATGTGACAAAATCATACACTTTTTTTAGTGATATCTTGTGATTAAGCTATTAATTGCTTCATCACTTTTTGCACAGTTCACTGCAGTTCTGGCATTAACAGCCTGTATAATTTAGTGCCTTAAAGTTGTGGAGTAAACTGTCATTGTGAGAAAGGCTTAAGATTTATTCTGATATTTTTCTTTTTATCCCCAGAGTTCCTCGATTGAATATAAACTTGATGAGGAATGTTCATATTCCAGTGATGTGTCTGATAAATCATTCAGTACTCAAAATAAGCGGAGTACACAACATGTACATAGTGGGGAGCATCCATATTCCTATGACTTATGTAATACATCATTAAGGATTAAGAGTAACCTTGAGAGACATCAGCTCATGCATAATAGGCAACGTAGGTATTCCTGCAACGTGTGTAACAAATCATTTGGTAATCAGAGTTACCTTAAGATACATCAACGCATACATAGTGGGGAGCGACCATATTCCTGTGGTGTGTGTAATAAGTCTTTCAGTAATAAAAGTGACCTAAAGAGACATAACCGTGTTCATAGTGGGGAACGTCCATATTCCTGCGATGTGTGTAATAAGTCTTTTAGTAATAGGAGTGATTTGAAGAGACATGAACTTCTGCATGGCTCAGACCGTCCATATTCCTGTGACATGTGTAAGAAGTCATTCAGTAATAAGAGTGGACTGAAGAGACATCAACGCATACATAGTGGGCAGCGTCCATTTTCATGTGATGTGTGTAAAAAGTCATTCAGTGATAAGGGTAATTTGAAAATTCACTTGCGTGTACACAGTGGGGAGCGGCCTTATTCCTGTGGTGTATGTAGTAAGTCTTTCAATAATCAGAGTTACCTGAAGATACATCAACGCATACATAGTGGGGAGCATCCATATTCATGTAATATGTGTAGCAAGTCATTCAGTAATAAGAATAGTCTTAAGATCCATCAGCGTGTACATAATGTGGAGCAACCATATTCCTGTGACGTTTGAAATAAGTAATACAGTAGCAGAGCAATTTTGAAAACAGATAAATGTGTACATGGTGCAGAATACCCATATTCCTGTAATATGCATAATAAATCATTAGGTAAGAAGTGATCTGAAGAGATACAAACAAATGCATGCATAATGGGGGCATCTATATTCCTATGATGCATGTCATTCATCATTTGGAGTAATAAGAAGTCATCAGTGTATATACTGCATAGTGAGTAATACCCATATTCCTAGAATATGTGGAATAAATGTTTCCATTGTGTAAGTAGTCTACAGAGGCATTAACACATACAGCAGCCCTGTCCAACGTGGCGCCATGGCACCCTCCGTAAGTACATATAATTGAGCCGATTTTTAATATTAATTCAAATTGTAAGACAGACATTTTTGAATGTCTGAGTACTGTTAAACATTTTCACAAAATTTCCTTGAAGCATGGTACAGTATTAGATATTCCTTGAAATTTTATACCTATTTTTTTTCCCCCTTGCTAACAACACCAGTCTTAATTCTATTTTCACTAGAGAAACTGTTGTCCTCTCAAGATCAGGTAATTTTCCCTAGCGGTATTTTTACCCCCTCAAACAGCCGCAAGTCCCCACTGAATCGGCTTTCATGGATTTCAGATTTATGGTCAGGGTATCGTAAAATGTTCTATGATCGGCAGGGCAAACACATTCACCGACACAAACATGACTTTGGGACCCAGCTTACTGTAATTTCCGCAATTTCTAAACTCATCAGCAATATGAATCAGAGTTACTTTAATCCCAACAAAGCAATGCTGCAAACAATAAGAATTTATTAGAGGGTTGTACACTAATAGAAATTGATAGTAGTTATATTTCCAAGTTCACTTTCTTCAGCCAAACATTCAGTATTACTTGTTTGTGACGACCATAGTTCAGTTATCATGTGGCTTGTGTTGTGACAAGTAGTACATTCAACAAGTTACACAGTTATCAGTGTACATATTTTAGTTATTGTACTTCAAATTATTGAGTAAATAAGCAGTACTATTTTATATAGCTATTCTTGATATGACTAAAAGACAAAGAAGTTATAGTTTTAACAGTGAATGGGAGAAGCAGGATTGTTTTATTGAATACAGAGGAAACCTGTGTGTTTACTGTGTAATGGTAGCGTGTCTGTTCCCGAAAAAAGTAATGTAGAGCGACATATTTTGACTAACCACAAAAACTTCAACAGTGAATTTCCTGTGAAATCTGAACTAAGAAAACAAAAGGTGAAAGACCTAAAATCTAAATTAACCTTGCAACAACGTGTATTTACAAAGCCTATCCAGCAAAGCAGCAATGTAACAATAGCTTCTTATAAAATCTGTCATGTATTAGCTAAAAGGAAAAAACCTTTCGGTGATGAGGAAATAGTTAAAGAAGCTATGATCAATGCCGGCGAGTCTCTGTTTGATGGTCACAAGATAAATCTGCACTTATGTCCTCCATCAAAGGACTTCAGTTGTCTCACCAAACTGTTGCTAGACGAGTTGAACAGATTTCTGATAATCTGGAATCTCAAATACATCAGGATTTGCAATTGTGTCAATATTTTTCACTCCAGCCTGATGAAAGCACTGATATATCGGATGTTGCACAATTATGTATATTTGTTAGAATGGTTTTTGGCGATTTTACGGTAAAGGAAGAATTCGTTAAACTGCTGCCACTTCATGAACATACTAGGGTAGAAGACATATTTAATGTGTTCCTCAAATTTGTGAAAGAATGTCACCACTTTCAAAACTTGTTGCTATAGCTACAGATGGGGCGCCTTCAATTACTGGTAGGAATGATGAGTTTCTTGCTCTTTGTGCTAAGGATGAATCATTTCCCAATGTTCTTTCTTATCAATGCATTATCCACCAGGAAGCTTTATGCGCAAAGGTTTTGAAGTTCGACCATGTTATGAATGTAGTAATTCGTGTGGTAAATTATATCAGATCATCTTGTACTCATCGATTGTTCAGAAATCTTTTGAATGTGTCGGAAACTGAGCATGGTGACATAATTTTCCATGCAGACATAAGGTGGCATAGTAGGGGGAAAACACTGTAACGATTTTGCTGTGTTCTGGATGAGGTCAGGGACTTTCTGAAATCATCTCCTGGCCAATATTATCAAGAACTTGATGAAATATCATGGCTACTAGGTTTAGCTTTCTTGACAGCTTGACACCTCAAAATTAAATGAGTTAAATCTTGAATTACAAGGGAAAGATCGTAACATTTCAAGCATGATAAGTGTAGTTAATTCTTTTCAAAAGAAACTAAAGCTATTGATTGCACATTTAAACAGAAATTCCCTTTCACATTTTCCGCACATGAAATCTGTCGTGGAAACCTTAAATGGCTGTGAATACGATCTTCCATCTTGAAGCCCTTGTGACCGAATTTGGTAACAGATTTAGCCAGTTTTCAACACTCGAATCATTGTCAGTGTTTATCAGTAATCCATTCGCCACTGTTGACGTTAGTGAACTTGGAGGGGAGGTGTGTGAAATCTTCGGAAAGTATAATCTTGAAGAATTAGAAATGGAAATTTTAAATTTCCAAGAAGACATATCTTTGAAATCCTCATTTGCAACTTGTAGCATTTTCTGGACCCTGGTGGACAGGAATAAATATCCCATGATTGATAGCATTGCTCTGAAAATTTATTCATGTTTTGGTTCAACGTATCTGTGTGAAGTCGCATTTTCATCTATGAGCATCATAAAAGTTTAGTACCAATCCTGCCTAACAGACTCACACTTAGATGATGCACTAAGAGCAGCCTGTTCCAGCTACACGCCAGAATTTCGACAACTTGCACCTAACATGCAGTGACAAATTTCACACTAATTATGTAAGATTGTAAGTAAATATAATTATATTAAAAGATTTAGTCAGTATTAAATTTCTAATTATTTTAGTATTATTATTATTGGTAGTAGTATTAAGAAGTAGTAGTAGTAGTAGTAGTAGTAGTAGTAGTGTGGTGGCGCCTGCACCTCGATAGGCATCAGTGAATCGTGCTCGAGTACATAAGAACGTTGGACAGCACTAACATACAGAGTAGGGCACATTTCTAGTATTTCCATATATTTTGGTGTTGGTCATGTGTATCTGGTGTCTGCAAGAATATTTTGAAGAAATGGGATGATACAACACTTCTATATGTGTAGTATAACAGATTAATTCATACAGGTATGTAAAAAGAACTGTGGCTTTAGTCTGCAAGTGAACTATACAGACTGAGCGACCACTGCTTGTTGGCCAACTTGAGCAGATAGAGAATGTTGCAAGGTCAGTGCAATGAATCATACAGGGATGTAAAGGAATATTATAGTTTTTTAATGTATTACCTCTTTCACCATCTCTCTTCTTATCATTTTTTTTAAGAGTAAGTGTCTGAGCCATGTCTTGCAGTTATTTTACCTTGTGTTTGATTTTGCTTCCATTTGTTCACTTTACTGACTGTTCCTCCTCAATGAGGGAGAAGCTGCCCCTCATCCTGTAAGTGTAACTGCAATTGTAAAATTCTCATTTTTCCCAAGTGTTTTCTTCCCATCAGGTGTACTGCATTTCTTGCACGAATGCTAGGTATCATATAAATCCTTCCATGGTTAATCACCTAAGTGTGGGCCATATAAACCCCACTTAGCAGTCTGGCAGAATTTAAAGCGACAGTTTAAAATTGTATTTTGCTGGGATAGCTTAATGTGTATAGTGATGGGCTATGGGATGGACAGCCATGGTTTGATTCCCGGCAGGAGCAAGAAATTTTTATTTTACAGTGCCCAGAACGACTCTGGGCCAGCACAGCTTTATACCTAAAGGGTACCGAGGGCCCTTTCGCAAGGGTAGTACGGCCAGGGTGTAAAAGTGACCACACCATCTAGTGCCAAGGTCAAGAATGGTGTAGGTGTACCATTACCTGACACGTCGTATGCCATGGTGCCTAATTAAGTACAGGGACAACTTAAACCTTTTTCCCGATTCTCTAAATGGCAGAATATTATTTAGACAAAAATTCTGTAAAATTGAAAATCCCAATTAGAGAAGGTTATCGCGGGACCGCTGAGGAAAGGGGTGCTCTGTGACCAGTGTGACAGGTCATTTCGACCATTTCGATTGTTGGGTGTCTGCTCGGTAGGGTTGGTAGTATGTGTACAAATAATGCCGCCTATTGCTCATAGATGGTGGTATAATGGCCTTCGTGAACTTCGTGAAGGCGACTGTCTCTCAGATTGCCTCGGCTAACTATAACGTGGCAGCTCTTCGAAGCTTAAGTGAACATAAATCTAGGCAAAGTTTGCTGTCGAAGGGCTACCAACCTCTCGCAGAACCTCAAAGTTGGCCGGGATTTTCTGTGTTGGCTTCACCACACCTGCCCTATCACTGCTGTGGAAAACGCTTCGTCTCGCTCCTCTGGCACGACCTGTCTGACTGTAAGATGACAGTGCCAGGACTGTACGCACCTGCCGACATAGTCCCCAGCTTCTTTGACACGCACACCACCTCAGTAATAGGTAAACAACTAACTCGATGGATCTGAGCCCATCTTTAGAAGCTGCCAATCAAGCTACTCAATTTCTCATCGTTTTAAGGAAACCGAAGGTTCTTTACGGTGTTCACAAGAGCGCTTCACTGGCCCCAATCCTGAACAAAATGAATCCAGGCCATACCACCCTGTCCTAGTCATCTGAGATATAAGTTAATATTGAGGAGCCGGAATAACGTCGGTAGAGCGACGATACGGGCTGGACGACTGAAGGATCGGAGTTCGAGTCCCGGTATGGATCAAGAATTTTCTCTTCTCCACGTCGTTCAGGCCAGGTCTCGGGTCCACCCAGCCTCCTATCCAGTGGGTACCGGGGCACTTTACCCAGAGATAAAGCAGTAGAGGCGTGAAGCTGACCACTCACCTCCAGTTTGTGCCGAGATCAAGAAGCTGTGGTTCTATGCAACCACTCACCCATACATATTCATCGCGTACTGCTAAAGTAGTTAAGTACAGGGACAATTTTACCTTTTAATATTATCCTCCAACCAACGTCTAGGTCTAGGTCTTTCTAGAGGTCTCTTTTCTTCTTGCTTTCTTACTAGAACTTTACGTGCCATTCCCTCTTCGTCCCATGCGTATGCAGCGTGTCTTCAAAAACGCTCAGTAAATTCTGAGCTGTTGGTAGGCATGAACAAAACATCGAAGTTACTATGTGGTCCATGCTCGATTGGTTATTTCAAATAAGTGGATTAGTACCGGTCGTAGAACGTTGTAGAGGTTAGGATTGACGGTAGCGGAAGAAGTGCGTGCTATGTAATTCGTTATAAGGACGAGCACAAAGTTATATTCCTAGTGTATGCCATTGAAGTAGGTTTTAACTTAAGAATTATAACATATACTTAATCAACAAGGAATAAAAATGAAGTCATTGCTGGTAGGAGAGTGAGCTATTGAGTGCATGTCATTATGTAATCATGTTCTGTAGCTTGTATTTAAAGTACCCCCTAATTGTGGTATTTGAAGGCGACACTGGTAAATTAGTCACGTTCTTTTAAAGTTTTGCTTTTGTTTTAATCGGTTTGTTTTGTTAGGCCGTTGACATATTATCCAGTATGAAAGGTTAAAATACCCGAGTTGTTAATTTGAACGTGTGCAAATATTAAGAGCTCCGCAATTTACAAACACCTTTGTGTTTCCATAGTTTTGACAAATGGAAGGTGATGGTCAGTTTCCTTGCAGGCATCGGTGTACAGCCATGCAAGACTTCCTGCTCGTCAACATATTCACTTTGAGGTTATTGCAAACGGTTTGTCATGTACAAAGAATTTTTCATCTATGTACACTGGTAATTGTCAGTTCTCAACTATGGGCAAAAGTGGGTCTTCGTCTCAAGATGCTATACAAAAAGAGAAGGGTAAGAGCTGTATTTCAATATTAAATTCGAAATGCTTTATCAAAATTACGTTTAATGAAAGAACAGTAGAATTCGGTCTGCACTGGTCAAACAACCAAATTGTAGGTATATTCCACGGTTCCCAATAAGCAGGATGTGAAACAAGCCAGAGTATAATATATAGCATTCATAAGTATTCCCATAAATATGCTGCAGTCATTTTAAGCCTTCCTGCAAATTATTGCACCACTCAGGCAAAAGAGCTGAACACTCCTGCCGTCAAGTTGGGCTGTAGAGACTCAAACTGCTAGGAGAACTGACAAACCAATAGCCTAACAGGACTGCCTGACTTGAAACCCTGAGAGACCACATTATGCAATAGACACTCACTTGGGGGCTGCATTTTAATAGTATGTTTTTTTTTAGAATGAATATACAGATATTTCCTCTGCAGGTCAGCAGAGTGTAAACCATTCAATCACACTTATGCCGTTCTTTTCTAAGTTATTTATTAGGTGTCGTGTGAAATTATATGACCAAGTAGGTTATTATAGTAGAATGCTGTAGACTTTTATTCATGAGGGGCTGAGTTTGAATTGCAGCTGGGACTGGGGCTATCATGACTGAGATTTTTGTTATGATTTTATTCAGTCCTTGCAGGAAAATACAAGAATAGTAATGCCATTAGGCCCTGATCCCATACTTCCAGATGTTCTAAAATTTATTTACCCCTTAGCTACTAACACACTACCATGAAGTACCTCAGAAAAAGCAGGCACTATAGGAACAAAAATGCATGAAACTGCTCTCTTAAGAAACTGGTTGGTTATAGTGGGTGTAGAAAGTTCTGGAATTCTAGAATGCAACAAAAAAGTTCACTAACATTGCTGCTATGTTTTAATGTTTATGATTTTTTGGAATTGTGGTTCTTGGAAAGCATACCAGTCACAAAAGTAGCTATTTCTCCCAGAGCTTCCATATCTAACCTGAGAACTATTCAATTTTACAATTGACTGTGCCATAGCTGAGGAGGTTAGTAGCTGGCTTCTCACCATGGTGGCCTTTGTTTTGATTCTAGGTTATGTCATGTGGGATTTATGTTAGACAAAGTGGCACTGGAGCAGATTTATCTGAGCACATCGGTTTCCCATGTCACTTCTCATTCCATCTACTGCTCCATATTCATTAATCATCTTATCACCAACACCATCTAGTCTCAGAATTGGCAAGAAAGAAGTTCATAATTCTAGTGCAGTGCTCTTTGTGCATGAATTTAGTATAGATTATTCTCAAGTGACAGGTTTTGTGACCTATGTACATGCGACATTAATGTCTATTTTAAATTTGATTTTTCCTTCAGTATATTATGCCTGCCCTGCAAATGTATAAAGGAAAAAGGCAGAAATTAAATGCACACAAATAAAAGGCAAGGGCCACAGCAAGGTGTCAGAAAATACTGATCCACCTTTTGGAAACCAAAATATTTATCTGCCTAGCAGATTTTCAAAATTTATGTGGTTGCTGCATGTGTATAGAACATGCATAACTGTATATGGAATCAGACTTCTAATTACAGTGTGTTAATCACTCTCCTACTCCTCCTCTTAATGCGGGCACTACAGAGTGTGATGAACCATGGGGTCTTGTACAGTTGCTCATCATCAGTTCTTGCTGTCTGGCTGCAATTATTAAAAGGTTATTAAAAATTAAGGCTTTCTGTGGGATTGGGTTGTCAACCCCATGCTCAACCCCTAATCTACAGAACTAGGGTATCACTTTTTGTCTGGGTCATCACCTTTTTCTGTCCATCATTGGAGGTCCTACCAGTAGCTACGCTACTATTGGCATAGCTCTCAGGATCATTTGAACATGCACACTCTACCACAACATCAAAGTAGGGATACCTGCAAAGGCGTGTTAGTCATTGATAATGTAAATTCATCAATCCTATATGTGTGTGTATATTATAATCCTAATTAGGTATGTGCTCCTCTGGATTTAAAGAAAAAATAATAACAGGATTTTATACAAAATAATAATAAAAATTAAAAGTTTTTTAATTAGTGAAAATTGTCTCAAACAGCATAAGATGGGGGGCACACGGTAGTGTAGTTGGTTGAGGCACAGTGCTACAAGCTAGAAGGTAGTGGGTTTGATTCCTGATTAGATTATTATTTAAATTTACGTAATCCTTCCAGCTGTACTATAGCCCTAGGGTTACTCAGCCTCCAGCAGAAATGAGTACCAAAAATATTCCTGGGGGAGGGTAAACCGGTGTATAAGGCTGACAACCTCACCACCATCTGTGTGCCAGTTGTCTAGAAAATGTGGGAACCTCGACATCTAACGAACCTATGGGCCTCCATGGCCTATTACAGGAATAGCATTACCTAATTTTTTACAGCATAAAATGGTGTGGTGCACATACATGATAGAATTTGGATAGTTCCATTTTGAACTATTTTAGCTTATTGCAGGCAGTTAATAAAATGTCAGGAGCTGTCTTGAATGACCTCTGGCAAAACAGTTTTTTGTGCATCAACTTCCCATCCGCGAATATTCTGATGGAAAGCCAGAACATAAGTAATTATTTATATATTGCTCAGGATATACTTGTGCTAGTGAAATGGGGTAAGCATGTAATACTTGTGTTTTCATTTCCTGTCATGTGGCAAGTGTATAAAATAAAGAATTTCTATGATCTTAAGGCTTTTGTCCAATTTTATACAGTGTGAGTTCTACACTGGAATTATTAACTTTCTTTCTGAAATAGTACAATGTTGCGGATGGAGGAGACGTTCTCCAGTTTTGGACGGAAGCTGCGAATATATTGAATAAGCAGTCACGGACGGCCGACAAGGGGTGGTCCTCCAGCTGTGGGGTTCGGTGTGGGGCCAACAACTCCTCACTGTAAAAATAATTATGTTACGAAAATGAACACAAAGCCTCAGACCTGGATGGATTCCTCGGATAAACGACCTATTTTTTTTATTGCTAGTGGGGTGGGACTAAGTCCCTTGTACTGCAGCCCCTTCTGGCCTGTTGTACCAGCCCCAGATGATAGGGGAGGGTGCTTGTGGAGCAATTGGTGGAATGAAGATTGACAGTGGAAACTGAAGTACTCCGAGAAACCCCGCCCCAGCGCCACTTTGTCCACCACAAATCCCACTTGACCAGACCTGGGATCGAACCCGGGCCGCCGCAATGGGGAAGCCAGTGATTAACCGCTTGAGCAATGGCGCAGCCATATAAACGACCTAAGCTAAAGAAAATGGATATGAGATTTGGGACTTGGAATGTTTTAAGTCTGTATAGAGCAGGTTCACTCAGGGCAGAGGCAGAAGAAGAAATATTCTTTGCACCTGCCATTTCTATTTTTGAGGGGTCAGAGTGGAATGAAATTTTGTAAAGTTCCATATTTGTGATGGTTTGTCAGCCAGCCCAAGTAAATTAGAATATTCTGGTATAACAAAAGATTCATTATGTGTTTTTGGCAGTATTCTTTGTACTGGGATTTTTTATTGAAAGTTTGTTCCCCTGTTTAGAATTCAAAAACCAGTCTTCACTAAGTAAGTTATTTTCTAATGGGTTTGTAAGTGATATACTTTTTCACAAGAGACAGCATGTAAGCCCTACTCAAGCCAAATCCCCATGCCTCCAAAGTAACAAAACTGCCAATTCTCACCCAGTTTCTGCAGGCAGAACAGAACTGTGTCCTAAAGATTTACTTTTCTGCCCTTTTTTATCTTTGAGGTAACTGTGAAGTGTGAAGGGTTATATATGGACTGTTATAGTCCTTTGAAGTCCTAGAAATGGTAGTCCCCCCATACTTGGAGTTGGTCCTTAGACTCACTGGTGTTTTTTCAGTCATAATTCTGAACCATATTTCCTTGAAAGAAAAAAAGTATCCTGATTAATAATAATAAAAATATAAAATAATACTGTTTGAAAGGTTTTCCCATACTGGAGTAAGTGCTTGACCTGCTCAAGGTAACTGTGTGTCATGCTCACCCACTTCCCCCAGTAGTAAACTTCAAGGGGTGAGTGAGTCATACATACAAAACAGGCTAAAAGGTGAATAAGACATAATGATTTACACTCACTTGATTAGAATGAACTAATGTGCTAAGGTGGGAACTGTGAATACTTCAAAGTTTGAATTACACGATATAAGTCACATCCCTGTAGCACTGTACCTCTCCTTGTGAGTTGAAGTGGAAGGCTCAACTGACACCTGTTTAACCTCATTCATCAACATGAATTAAGAACCCCCTATTGATCAGTAAGATTAATGCATTATTAATGAACTCTCATGACCATCTTCAAATTAGCATTTGACCAACTCACTTACCCCAGTCACACTCCTGCTCTCCTCCACCTCAACTTTAAGATTGTATGCACATTTTCTGTCCTGCCCCCTCCCCCAAGCCTGAGAAGAGTAGTGGTGGTACCCATGGAAGTGGAACCGGGGTAGCATATTCAGTGTAGCGACTGACTATGGGCTGGACGACGGGGAGATCAGAGTTTGAGTCCCAGTAGGGTCAAGAATTTTCTTTTCTCCACATCATTCAGACTCGCTGTGGGCTCCACCCAGCCCCTTATCCAATGGGTATGGGGGGCTTGTTCCCCTGGGTAAAGTGACTGGGGCATGAAGCTGACCACTCACCTCCAGTTTGTGCCGAGGTCAAGAGAATGTGGATCTATACAGCCAGTCCCATATACGCCTTCATGGTGTAGTGCTTAATTACGTAGGGAAGTAAAAAATTATCTGCACTCTTGTTTTTCCAATTTATATGCACAAAAGTACAGGTTGAACAAGTACGTCATTTTTCCACATAGTGTCCTTTCTTTTCGATGCACTTGGTCCAGCGGTCCACAAGCCTGCGTGTTCCTCCAAGAAGGTTTTCAGTTGGTTGCGCAGCCATTTATGCACCACTTCCCTCACTTCTCTGTCCATAGAAAATTGACTACCTCGTAAAGCATCTTTGAGCAGTCCAAAGAGATGATAGTCGGAAGGGGTGAGATCTGGGCTGTAGGCAGGGTGTCCCAGCACCTCGAAACCCAAATGGTTAATGGTTTCAATGGTCTGGCCGGCCATGTGTGGGCAATGCATTGTCATGCAACAACAACAACAACAACAACAACAACAACACTTTCTTCGACAGTAGACCTCGGCGTTTGGTGCAAATTACTGGCTTCACATTGTTGGGCAGCAAATCACTGTATCTTGCACTGTTGATCGTACACCCTTTTTCCAGGTAGTCTTCCAGTATGGGCCCCTTTGAGTCCCAAAAAACCTTTCCCGCGGAAGATTGAAGTCTTGAATTTCTTCTTTGTTGGCGATCCTTGGTGTTTCCACGCCATACTCAGACTTTTGGATTCTGGCTCATAGTGATGGACCCATGTTTCATCTCCTATGACTATTCTGCTCAAAAATTCTTTGCTTTCATCGTTGTAGCAGTTGAGCATTGGCAGATCTCAAGACACTTGTGCTTGTGCTCTGCAGTAAGCTGTCTTGGCACCCATCTTCCACAGACTTTAATGAAGCCAAGCTTGTGGATGATTTGATAGGCAGAACCATGACTAATCTTCAGCGCACACGCTATCTAATCAGTGGTAACTCGCCGGTTCGCCAGTACCATCTCTCAAGCTTGCTGAATCTTCTTGTCAGTGGTGGAGGTTGTCAGGCATCCTGCTCCCTCTTTGTCCATCATGCTTGTCCGGCCACTTTTAAACTTCTCGATCCACTCATACACACTTCTATGTGGTAGAGCACTGTCCCCGTATTGTGTTGAAAGCCTCTGATGAATTTCAGCGCCTGACACACCTTCCAACCAGAGAAATCGGATCACTGTTCTTTGTTCCTCCTTGGTGCACACTGCTAGTGGAGCGGCAATGTTTTCACTGTCACAGCATCAAGAAAAATGACACAATAAAGGTTAAACTTCAATCACATGACCACAGTAGTACCAACTGTAAGCATGCATGCGCAGAAGGCAGTGTGACAAACTTAAAGATGTGTTATGGCGAGAGTGCGGATAATTTCTGACTTTCCATTGTAGTTAAGCAAGGGACAACTTTACCTTTACCCATGGAAGTGTACTGTATTTGTATTTGTGTTTTATTTCAGAGAAACCTCTGAGAATGACGTTGGAACAGAGTAACAGAGATTCCACCATCACTTATGATAAAATTGATACATGGCAAGACTATTTTTTGAAGGCTAAGGAGCGCCTGAGAAAACAATGTAAGTTATTCATTTATAGATTGGGTAACGAAGTACTCAAAATTATTATCTTTGTTAAAAATGATGTGTCACTGCTGTAGAGAAATAGAACAGGAAAAGTATTCACTAACCATGATTCTGATACTTTCATGCCTTCTTGTCATTATTTCATCCACCACCAGAACACAAAAAGAAAAGCAGAAAAAATTCCACCACTAGAGACACAAAACTAAACAGTGAGAAACAAGAAGACAAGATTGCAACCAAAAAGAACTCTACATCCTACAACAGCAAAAAACAAATAAGATCTAAAAGTTTGTGATGATGGTAAATTGTTACAATTATTATTTTGCTGGACATTATCCATCATCTTGTCTATTCTAAAAACAGTCTAGTTTCTATTAAAAAACACAACGTTTCGAGAACTGTAATCTGTCCCCGTCTTCAGGTAAAACTTACTCAGTTGTGTCCAATAGACAGAGCTAGCCCCTATCTCCGGACAACTATGCATATGCATGCTCTGTCTATTGGACACAACTGAGTAAGTTTTACCTGAAGACGGGGACAGATTACAGTTCTCGAAACGTTGTGTTTTTTAATAGAAACTAGACTGTTTTTTAGAATAGACAAGATGATGGATAATGTCCAGCAAAATAATAATTGTAGCAAAAAACAAGATGACAGGCTGCACCACAGCATAATAACTACACACAAGCCAGCTGAGAAAAACCACATCTGCATCTAAAAACACGAAAATAACCTAAAATAAAATAACATTTTAACAAGGATGTATGTGCTAGCATTATGCACCAATATGTCAGACATGCAACACCGGCTGATGTAAGGGGTGAACAATGCAGCCAGCAGGGTATGAGCATACCAGATAATGGCTGAAAGGCCAAAACATATAGTAGATAATTTATAGTACATCTGTACAAAAGCTGTGCTGACAGAAGTAAATACAGTTGGAAGAATGCAACACAAAATCACACTGTGATTCTTAAATGGGGGTTTAGTTATATAAGATGCATTATGATTCTTTTGGGCCATTTTTGAGGGGAAAGAAATGGGAAACATGCCACTAGCCTGTAAAGATTATGGTTTCTCTTCAGCATTACCTCAGTAAGTCTTTGAATGGCTACCATTAAGTGAGTTTAACATTTTGGTCCCGTTGGTTATAAGTGCCCTGCTTCTGCAGTTAACACTGTCATGTTACTTTCTCTATTAAAATTGCACTTGAGAGTTACACGTTGAAGCAAATGTTTCTGTATGATACAGGAACACCTCATTTTAGTGCTCTTCATAGATGTTGCATTTTATACAAATCAAAGATTTGTGGCAACCCCACATCAAGCAAGTCTATTGGTGCCATTTTTCCAACAGCGTGTGCTCACTTCGTGTCACTGTGTCACATTTTGGTAATTCTCAACAATATTTCAAACGTGTTCATCATTATTATACCTATTATGGTGATCTGTGATTTTTAATATTACTGTCGTATCCTTCGTGGATGACTTTGAGGGGTTCAAGACTTTAGTGGAGGAAGTAACTGCAGATGTGATGGAAACAGCAAGATAAATAGAATTAGAAATGGAGCCTGAAGATGTGACTGGATTGTTGCAACCTGATGATAAAACTTGAACGGATGAGGAGTTGTTTCTTATGGACAAGCAAAGAAAGTGGTTTCTTGAGATGGAAGCTACCCTGGTGAAAATGCTCTGATCCCTGTTGCAGAGGCAACAAAGGATTAAGAATATTACATAAACTTAGTTGATAAAGCAGCGGAAGTGTTTGAGAGGATTGACTCCAGTTTTGAAAGAAGTTCTGTTGTGGGTAAAATGTTATCAAACAGCATCACATACTACCGAGAAATCTTTCATGAAAAGGAGAGTTGATTCGGCAAACTTCACTGTTGTCTTATTTTAACACTTCACGGACCGGCGATTTAAATATTTAAATCACCCTTGGGACCGGCATTTTTAAACATACTACACTAACTTGTGCACTGTTCACTTTAAAAATTAATATAAAATCTCCTAANGATGGGCCCGGTCGTACTAAGTCTTTGTGTGACCCTGGTTCTGCCGCCACCATCTGGACTGTAGCCCAGGCCTTTGCCACATTCATCAGAAATGCTTTGTATTTCAATTTTGAATCAGGGTTTAGATTTTTTTAGATTTTTTGCTGTCCCCGCAATGTTACTACGTGCAATGTTATTACCCGCATTATCGTCAGAGCTACTGTCTGTGGCCACAATTCTTTGTTGTCCCCCATCACTGTCACTGTCTGAATGACAATCCATTACTACACGTCTCACAGGCAGGTCAGCTAGGTCATCAGAGGAGAATTTGTCCTTGATCCATTCTCCCCACTAGCTACTGGCTGATACACACAGCTTGAAGAATGCAAAGCATTTTCCTTTATAGTTGGTTAAGTAAACAGTGAGGTCAAGTTACTGACTGCTAACTAAACATTCCAGAGTCTTATCACGCATCTGCAGGCGGTTGTGTGCAGTGTAGGTGGCGCCAGAGCAATGTATAGTGTGTTGCAACTTATCGTGTTCTAAAAACGTATTAATACGCAACCGGTCTGCCACGTTTAAAAGTGAAAAACGCATTAATGCATGCGCGGTCCGCAAAGTGTTAAGAAATTAACACAGCCAACCCAACCTTCAGCAACCACCACCCTGATCAGTCAGCAACCATCAACATCAACACAAGACCCTCCATCAGCAAAAACATTACGACTCACTGAAAGCTCAGATGATGATTAGCGTTTTTAGCAATAAAGTATTTTTTAATTAAGGTATGTACATAGTTCTTTAGACGTAGTGCTATTGCACAGTTATTAGATTACAGTATAGTGTAAACATGACTTTTATATGCTCTTGGAAACTAAAAAATTCAGGTGACTCGCTTTATTGCGGTGATCTGGGATCGAACCTGCAGTATCTTCAAGGTATGCCTGTACCTATATGAAAATCAAGGTAAGGATTCCGGCATGAATTTCAGGATGTTACAGTTAAAAAGAGAAGAGTATTTGACAGTAAAGGTAAAGTTGTCTCTTTGCTTAACTAATTAAGCCCTACTCCATGAGGGCTTATGGGGGAGTGGATGTATAGATAGTCATACAGACATAAGTATATTTAGATGGATAGAGTTGTTACTAGACAACAACCTGAATTTCAAATGCTAGATGCTGACTGAAGAGAAATTAGATGAAATCAGTGTAGGCTTGAATGTTAGCTTGAGACATTCCTTCAGCCCACACACAGGAGAGCAGGGTTTAAAGTTGCAGGTTTCAGTTTCATATTTATTCTAGTTCCTAAAAGAAACTTCAGTGTGTGACTGTGAGCATTTTACATACATGCACTGAATGTATTTTCATGTGAAAAGTGACAGTAAAAGGGGGGTTGGATCAATATTGGATTTAGTAGACTCTTCTCATGACTACACTTTACAAATCATTATCACAAGGAGACTTAAGTTTCTCAGTCGTGATCTTCACTGTGCTGCTTGATAGTGGCTTCCAACAGTGGATGTTCCTGAATTGTCCCTGGCCTCGGCTACCAGCTTCTCACTTCTCACAACTGAAACTCTCAATTGACTGGTAGATTCTAAAGGGTTCTGACAATGGTTGAGGTTAGCTCTTTCTAAGGGACCCAACTGAATAGGTGTCTTCCCCCACTTACCTGACAATGGAAACAGATCCAGTTTCTGAAACATCGTGTTTTCTATTTTCTAGAACACGGATGATGAAAAGAAGTCCAAAAACCCAGTAATTCTAAGTCTCAGCTGACTGTCTGCCTGCAGACTCTCTCTCAACTCACTCAACTGTCTACTTGGACTCTTCTTGGGCTCACTGTTAATGAGAGCTGGTCCTCATTATATAGCCTTGGCAAGGACCGCACAGAAAACACTGTTTCCAGTAGCTTTTCTTTCGTTGTGTGCTTGCCTGTTGTGGCCATCATGTGGCGGCTACTGAGCCATTGCATAGCAACGTCCGTGTTTGCAATGGCACTCTGCTGGCTTCACAGTTCCAGCTTTCAGCAGACATGCAGCAGTATGAATTACAATAGGGACTCTTTCTGTCATCTGATATGGTCTTTTTGGGTTTGTTTTTGTGATTTAAATTGACACAAAAAGCTCATCTCTCTCAAGCTGGCCTGAATGAACAGTTTACAGCAGTACAGTACCATTAGAGAACATCTCCCAAAACACAGGACAGTGGACAGAATTACTTGCATAATCATTAACAGGTTCTTTGCAGGTGTACAGTATATTTATAAGCACTCAAAATATGTTTATTACCAAATTCATGTACCAAATAAGTAACTGTACTCATAAATTCCACAGACTTAGTTTACCATTTGTACGTCTGAATATATTCGTATAGGTTATTTCTGTATATAAATAAATATATGCACATATAAAACATTTACAATTAGACACATGAATACAGTACAAACAGAATTGGGTGCAAATTTTACTGCCAGACACATGACTGTAGTTAGTCACTCATTTCTTTGTAATATTGATGTACTGATGTGAGAGGTAAAGCCTGCCTTAAGACATCACTTAGCGTGCTTAATTCTTTATGCAGACAGCCTTATAGAAGAAAGGGGCTGTATGTCCAGCAACATCACTGGTATGGCAATTTTGGTTCCCATTGTATGTTAATAGTACAATCTAGTAACACTCCTATTATGATGTAATGGTCTACATCACTACTTAATAATGACATAGTAATATATGTGGGATACTTAATTTTTTCAACATATCAAAGTCAGTGAGACTATTGCCAACCGTTACTTTGCAGACTGCATTTTCCACAGGTTCTGAAAGTCATATTTTGTTGCTTGTTGCAGTTTCTGACATCCTTGGAAGCAAAGTACCTGAAGATTCCTATTCTGTGGATCCAACCTTGAATAAGGCAATATCACTCTGGTCAGGAAATATTACTCTTTTGGAAATAGATGCTATAGTAAATGCTGCCAATAAAAGTCTGCGCGGAGGTGGAGGAGGTAAGATACTGAACACATTATGAAGCAGATCATTAATGATCTGTATTATATAAGCTACTTCTGGCTTACTTCTCAGATTACAAAGGAATGAATGAGAATTTTGGTGGGGAAACACATCCAAAAAAGTCTGCATGGAAGCCTCAGAAGGAAATACGTGGATAACATGAAAGATGGGATTTAGGGAGACTCTGGTTATGGGGGGACAGCACAGGGCCATATTCAGTGGTAAAAAAAAGTAAAAGTAAAGCTATCCGTGTAACAGGCCGTGAAGGCCCATAGGGTTGTGAGACGAGGGTTCCACACTATCTAGACCAGTGTGGTCCAACCTTTAGTTACCCGAGGGCCAATCAAATTTTTATATAGGAAAGTGAGGGCCAGAGACATTAAAGAAAGAAAACGAATTACATATAAGTCACTAGTTTAATATACGAAGGGGGACCCAAAAATAACTGGAAACGACCTGTTGCGCGCACATGCTTTGTAGTTACGAGTTGTGCTGCTAGGTGGTGTTAGCTGGGGGTCTCCCGCGACTGTTAGTGAGCTGGCATCAGTCTGAGTTAAGTGGTTTGTCTGTGGTGCTCTGTTGTGTGCGTTCCTGTTTCAACCCTTTGGCGATTAGTGACATGGCCGACCAGAAGGAACAAAGAGTGTGCGTGAAATTTTGCTTTCTGTTAGGGAAAACTGCACTTCACTCTTCAAGTCGCGGCAAACATTCACGCGGTTTTCTCTTTGGTCATCTCCGAGCAAGCGAGGAACAAATTTTGCAGACACCCGTCTCATGTGCAAACCTTCGGTTAAAATTCGCTGGACC